ATCTACTGAAAATTTGCAACAATAAAAAGATACATTCGTCCTCTTTCAAACGCACCTAACTTCAAGTAAGACGGATGACAGATGTAAAAGTGACAGCCATTTCATCTTGTGTGTCTGAATTAGTTGAAATGCATGTGACATGTAGAAGGAACCGTTTCCAACGCTATAAAATATATTCCTGATCAGGATCAAGATCCTTTCGTCCATCTGCTTGACCGCTGTGATCTCGTGACCTTTAGCATCTGAAAAGTTCCGATGTTCAGAATGTTCCTTTCCAAAAGTGTCCTCTCAAAAGTTGAGATTTCTGCCTCGCACGCCCACAAGCTCAGTAGCGGGTATCTGATAGTCGAGCAAATAAAGCTTTCTCTCTTGCTTTGAGTTAACAGCCGGTCGACCAGTATTTTGCAAGCCTGAAAGCCAAGAATGCGTTTGTGTTTCGCTCGGGGAGCATTTAATTATGATTCAATTAATAAATCCCTGTTGTAACTAATTTGAGACCCCCGTGAACGAAAATGTGCCTTTAAAACGAAAATGAAAACATTGTTTATGGGTTGAAAATCCGACAAAATCCACGAAGCCAACAGTAGAGGCTGGTGCCGAAACACTCCCATGCGGTTGTTAAAATTTCAGGCGTGCAGGCGTGCGTTAGAATTGCGGAAAATCTGGGAAAATCAGAGAGGGGAGAATGGAGTTGGAAAAGCCTGCTCCATCGGGGGCTGAGCTTTCATTTTTTATGTTTATTGTCGCTTATCGTTGCCAGCCAGGGGGCGTGGCTGCGGGGGCTTGGGGCTGTGGGCGTGTCATTAGGGGCTCGGCGCCAGATGAAAAAGAGTAAACACGGCTATGAAAAAACGTTAACAACTCTCCTGGGGGGAAGCGGGGGAATAGCCGAACGCATTACACACACAATCTTTCAGTCCGCATCGCCGTGTGTGAGTAACTTTATTAGCTGTCTCCCCTGCGGAGAGTCTGTGTGTGGTGTGTGTGAGGTGTGTGTGCGGTGCTGGTTACCTTGTCAACATTATGAAAATGACAGGGACGCTCTGCATCCTGCACCTGGTCGTGCTAGAGGGAAAATTAGTCTGCGGCTCAGATTGCCGCACACACAGATTGTATCCATTATTTTGGGATGGTCTTTCGCAATGAAAATTGCTGCATTTCCAAGCAAAATATTTAAGCCCGTCTGATTTTAAATACAAAACAAAAGAGTAAGCAGCAGCAAACTAGAATGCAAACTAATGAAACCCATTGGATTTATTAATAATACATATTAGATCACTCGACTTAGTACTCGTTACTGTATAGGAATATTTGTTTTTAACTTCAAAAACATTCCTGCAGTTGAAGGTTGGGATTGATGTCAGGACTGTAGATTCATCCTAATTCTTCATACCATCTACGCAGACTTTCAATTACCTGGAATATATGTTTTTAAAAAACATTCCTGCAGTTGAAGGTTGGGATTGATGTCAGGACTGTAGATTCAACCTAATTCTTCATACCATCTACGCAGACTTTCAATTACCTGGAATATATGTTTTTAAAAAACATTCCTGCAGTTGAAGGTTGGGATTGATGTCAGGACTGTAGATTCATCCTAATTCTTCAAACTATCTACGAAGACTTTCAATTACCTGGAATATATGTTTTTAAAAAACATTCCTGCAGTTGAAGGTTGGGATCGACGTAGGGACTGTAGATTCATCCTAATTCTTCATACCATCTACGCAGACTTTCAATTACCTGGAATATATGTTTTTAAAAAACATTCCTGCACTGGAAGGTTGGGATCGACGTAGGGACTGTAGATTCATCCTAATTCTTCATACTATCCACAAAGACTTTCAATTACCTGGCTCCGCAACTCATTTGCCGCGATAAACGCCACGAAAACGTGGTGGTGCATAATTCCCGGGTGCCCTGAAATATTCCATCGCGGGCTGCGAGTTTTCTTTAATATTTTGCAAATGATGCCGAGAAATCTCGGAGCGTTCTCGCACCTCGCCGGGTCATTTAAATGCAGATTGCAATGAGCAGTCTGTCCACTTGAAAGCCGACATTTGCATAATGGCGGGCGACACATTGCAGCGGAAGCGGAAACGGAAACCAGAACCAGAACCAGAACCAGACCAGAACCAGAGCCAGGGGAAAGTGGGGAGTCGTGGCAGTTGCAGGTGCTGGGATCGTGTTTATGACTGCTTGGGATTGCAGGGTTGTCGTCGGGGTTGTCGCTGCTGTCGTTACCAAGCGGATGCCAGGCGGCATTTGGGGCCAAGTTGGGAACACTTCTCATTTGAATGGAACTGCCATAAATAAGCTTGGATTTTGAGCAGCAGTAAATGCGAAAATGCCTCTCCAAAAGTGCAGTACAAGTGGGGCTTGCTTTTCATAGTGGGTCTACGAAAAATGAAGTGCCAAAGTATCAAAGCTCTGCTTTCAGGCGTGCAAATATTTCAATAATAATTTATATGTTTACTAACGTAATACCTAAGGACTTTGACTATTTATTTTCTTTTGGAATTTAGCGACAAAGCTAAAACATGAGCTATGTATTTCCTGTAAACGCTGGTGTTTCATTCCAAATGCACTATTTCTGGACTGAAATAAACTTTCCGAGTGGCGGAGTTCGAATTTGGAATTCCCAACAATATTTTCACCTTGCAATGGACCATGGCCGCGTGGCCCTCCTCTCGTTCTCGCCGCAGTGGGTGGGATGTTTATGTTGCCACATGGCACAGTGGCAAGGAACGCGGGGGAGGGGCACGCAGGAACCCTTGCCCCAGCCACCAAACACAACACACACACATGCGATGGTGGCGAAAGGTGCAGCTGTGACTTTGGGTGGGGTAGTGGGTGGTTGGTGGGTGGTGTCCACCAGAGTCGGTTGCTGTGGAGCGAGCAGCCTGACAACAGCTGGAGCACCCCCACCAGGCACTTGAACAAATTGGTGGCCCATTTGTGAATGTATAAAACGGGAATGTGCACCGCAATTTGATTTTCACACCTATCAGACAATCAATACATTTTGCAATTTCATTTAATTATTTTATTATTTTGTTTGGCATTTTGAGCGTGCCGTTTATCAAACTCGTTAACTTAGCGCTGTCCTACTTCTGCTGCCCCATTAAAATTAATAATGAAAAATTAGTGCTATATAGTAATTAATAAGCCAGAGATATGGAAAAAATATAGGGCAATCTAGATTGGGATGCCTTTTTTGTGAGTGTCGAACTCGGTGCCGGCTGAGCTTTTGTTGCTCGTGTGGCATAAATATCGTTGCGGTTGCACGTGAAAATTGCATTTGGCCAGCAGCATTTGGCCGCTCCGGAAAGTTCCTCTTGAAGTGGAGGGGCGGGGTCGAGGACATCGAAGAGCTGGAGTGGGTGGGCGTGAAGGTTGCGGCAGTGCGTCCTTACACGCTGCGCAAATTGTGGACTTAAATGTTTATAACGCACCCAACCCAGCCGCCCAACCGCCCAACCGCCCAACCACCCAACTCCAGACCATTTTCGGCGTTTGTTTATTAAGCTTTTCTGGTGGAGGAAATAGAAAAGGAAAAAAGGTGTTGAATGCCACTTGCTGGGGCTGCTTTTTATTGCCATCGCACATCTAAGTGCAGCAGCTGTAAAATAAATATATATTTTTATTTTATCCCCCAGCTCGCGGCAGTTTCATTGCTTTTATTTGTTGTAGTTGCGAGAGGATATAAATTAAACGCATTAGAGTAGGAAACCGCAGCGATTTTCCCTTGCCATTTTCCCCGGCATTAATTCGCCTTTGCAACCGACAAAGGCACTTAGCGTCTCACTCCCTCACTCGCGCCCTCTCTTTCCAATCGAAGTGTATACGAAATTTAAATAAGAAACAAATCGAAGTAATGGCCAGCCGCACTTCTCCTCGACTTCTAGGTAGCAAATACCAAATGCTAAAATGCTGTAAGCGGCAGTGACGAAAAAGCAGGGAAAGCTGGGCAAAGGGAAAATTCCTGTTGGGCTCTTCACGTAATGAAAAAATAAAAAAATAAAGGAAGCCGAAAATCCATTGAAGCAATGAGAAACGAAAAGGAACCGATGACACGATACTGTTGTTTATAAAACACACACTTTGCCTGTCAACAATTCAAGAGAAAGGCTACTGTTCAACTAAAAAGCAGGGAATACGTGAACATTAAACACAATGCAAATTAAAGGGCAATAAAACAACGCCTGCACCACAAACATTGGCGAATACAACATGTTTTTATCGCAGATATTAAACGCAATCCACAGCGGGTGTAAGTGCATCGAGGAAATAAACCGACATTCATTTTTTCCGAGCAACTACTCGATATCCTTGATAGCCCCTGGGAGTCCTTGCTTCCCTGCTCTCCGCCGCTTTAGTGGCGAAGAGCTTAGGGCAAGCTCTTAAACAGAATGACTAACCATCTTAATCACATCACAGACATCGGGGGATATTCGCAGCAGCTGGGGGACTAAACGCTCGCCGACATTTCGGCAGCTGTCGGTTGTTTGCCACTAAACGCTCACAAGCAGCGGAAAAATGCGGAAATCTTATATAATCAAATGGCAGCCGAAAAGCGCTTTCGTGGCCACGGGGTGGACGCCTCTCCCGACTTTTCCGACTTTTCCGATGGCTCCAGGGCTCCAGGGCTCCAGGACTCCACCGACTTTGCCCTTTTGCTTGCTTTAGTTCTGTCTTGCACTTTGCATACAAAGTGCCATTAACTACTGGCATCACTTTTTCACACAACAGCAGCTTCTGATGGGTGGGCGGTTTTCCACACAGATTTCCTTTGTTTGCGGGCCAAATAAGTGAAATAAGCGAAAGCCAGGCTGTCCAAGTGCCCAGTGCTCTGACCAGGAGTACTCCATTTGGATGGAAATGGCTGCGGTTCAGTGTGTATGCCGAACAATTATATCGAAAAGCACTCAATTGGTTTTATTGCCGCTCGCGAGTGAAACCAATGCCACAATATTTTTTATGTAATGAGTTTGCTTTATTTTCATAACATTTTTTACAATATTTTTGCTCAAAGCTAGCTTAAATTTACAGAGATTAGATTTTAAGGCATCTTTACAACTGAAATTTATTTAATATTACAATTTATTGATTCAACATTTTAAAGCAAGGAAAAAGTGGTACAAAAAACCTTGAGCAGATGAGCTTAGAACTATTATTTAACTAACTTATCAACTAAAGAGCCAAAACTTGGGCTAATAGATGTTAATTTGAAATGAAATTTATTTTTGCTTCGTTTGATGATAACATCAATCGGCTTTATATTTGCTTTATCGTGCGATTTACAAGTTGAAAAACAAAAGGGAAGATTGAGGATCATTTTTAAAATCTTATTTTGAGTTGCTTGCAATTTTATGAAATGCCACAGTATTACTAGGCAGTTATTAATTAGATTATATTCTAATCAGCTAAAAACTGCCTTTGGGGTTGCCATTAAATACATTTGTTATCTACTACTTCATAGTTGATTAGGAATCCTTATCGAATTCGCTCCAGCAGTTCTTGGATATACACGAATGCCCTGGCAAGCGAAGGGGCTTCAGTCGCATCCTGCAGGGATGTGATCATCTTAGGATCGGGAAGGGACTTTGTGGTAGTGTCCTCCGACTTGTTGTAGACGAAACAGAAGTACACGACCAAGGCAACTATGATTAAAACACCGAGCGTGGAGCAGGCGAAAATGCAGAGGCACTTGAGACCCAACTTGCAACAGCTGCAGGAAGCGGCGTTTTGAGGAGATTTCGGGGCCATGCAGGATACTTACCAACAGAGAGCAGATCCGACCAGACACATAATGGCTATCAGCAGGTTTTCCTTATACTTGTGTAGGTTTTTCGAAAGCAAGTGTGAAGGAAAACGCTGTGGGATACTTTGGCATATGCTCAGGGGCAAAATGACATCAATTTAGGCAAAACAATTCCAATACTTTGGCCATAAAAGAGATAGCCAGTCCCCTCCAGTGCGTGAGCATATTTTGGCTTTCAGCAAATTATATTTTATGCTATTTTCCAACAAAATTCGGCTTTTATTGCCGCGGTACGGGAACTTCGACGAGGGTTGTGGACCAGCTCCCGCAAATTGTCGTCGAGGGCAGGAAAATTTACAGAAATAAAATGAATCGAAAGGCAAAAGAAAGGAAAAGAAAGGAATCAAAACGAAACGAAACGAAACATTCGAAGAAAAGTTGAAAGGCAGGAGAAGTGTGCTTTCTTGCCGCATAATCGAAATGTATTCTGGCTTTTTATTGCATTGCCAAAGGTAAGTCCGGGCCACGAAACTGAGTTGGGCAATAAGGAGCTGGGTTTCCGTGTGGGCGATAACAACATTTTAACGCCTTATGGTCCATTTAGGCAAAAGTGCCGATTACGCTCGGCTTAACCAGAAATTATGACCTCTGAGCCGGCTGGTTTGCGTGGCGCCACTTTAAGCTGCGGCAGGTCCTTATTTACAAATGCGAGGTAGCAGTCCCGAGGGATGCGCTTCGATCAGGTGGCTGAATACCTTGGAATGTTCTGGCAGGCAGGAGCTTTCCGTACAGCATATTTACTTGCTTATATTACCTAGTTATTGCAAATCTTTTTCAATTCTTGGCCAAGCTTTGCTTTTTTGTTTTAATTTTTTAACTAAAATTGGAACTTTTTCACTTTTCAAGCAGATTTATCACAGTTAATTAACTAACTTATAAGATTAGGCCAGTTAAAAAGGGCTTAGAACCAGACAATGCTTCTAAATGCATATACTAAAATGCTTAAGCTGGGAAGCAGTGAATCAAATACGATTATTTTTAAATTAAATAATGTAAGCCTTCTTGAGCTTTAAATTACAGGGTGCAGCAGGAAAGGGCCCATTCTCACAACTAGCCACGATTTCCTCCAAGTGTGTATCTTTGCCGACTCACAAAATTCCCTGCCAATGAAACACCAAATCCCAAATATCAATACGCTAATATTATTATTATTATAATCGGCTTTTAAGGCAATGTTCGGTTTTACTTTAATTTAGGCATTTTTTGGCCGATCTATGCCTTTTTTGACTGACTGCTGGCAGCGCTGTTAGTGTGGTTCCATAAATCATGTGTTGTATCTTGTCAACAACGTCGCCTGACTCCATCTATATGTATTTTAAGCCGAGCGTTTAATGCATTTTAGATAAGTCCTCCAGCAAACATCAACACGCGGGCTGCCGAGCAAACTTGAGCATCAATTACCGAGCTGGTCACGGGTGCGCTTTATGTGGCAGCAACGGGGCGTATGCGCGATTTATTTGCATATGATGACCGGCATTGCGTAAAAATAAATGGAAGGCAATTAAGAGCATTCGGAGAGGCAATAACAAAATAACAAAATGTAGGCCAGAACAAATAAGGGCCGCTCTGGCAAAAGTCAGCCGCTTGCCTCTCAGCCGTCGACAGCAAATAAATATTGTTGGACATTTGCGAAATGCACAAAATATGGCCATTATAATCCAATGATTTCACTTGTGATACTTTTGCAGTTTAATGCCATTTGTTGTGGGCATTTAAGCCTACGAAAATCGCATTCGATTGCACATTGTTTTCGCTCTGCTCGTTACTTTCGATGTGTCTACTTTAGCTGAAAGTTAAATTGAATTTGTATTCGGGTGTTGTGGATTTCTTCGCTATCAATTGCCATGACAAATGCTCCTAGTGTTGTTGTCGCCTGTTGTGTGTCTCCTCTGCTGCAGCTTGGCTTGCATTTGTCAAGTGGAAATGCCCTATTTTGCTCTAGCTTTGCTAGTTCTCCAGTTCTGCCGGTTAGAAACTTGTAAGCTAGCAAAGGTCAGCTTTTGGCATTCCTAGTTTGTTACTAACTCATTTTTATTGTATTTTTTATTTGGAAGAACAGGTCTCCCGCAATATTTGAGCCCTGTCGAAAGCAGGGTATAGCCAGTTCGTGAGGAGTGAGCTGCACAACAGCAGTTGTTGCCGGCTTCAGTTTTTATTCCCGGAAAAGGGAAACGGTCTGTGGACAACTGCGCTACGCTGCGACTCTTGTGCATTATTGCGATTTTACACGCTGCTGCACTCGAAAATGAAACGGACAATAAGCTCCACTTGCCCACTGGGCGCTTGGGGGCAGAGGGGGCGTGGCGGCGGGAGGGCGGCAATGCAGCAGCAACCAGCCATCATTGCCACTGTCCGCCGCTAAAAGCTTTTTGATTATGAAAAATGTTCGAAACATATGCTCCAAATGACTGCGGAGCGTGCGAAGAAAGTCCTTTCCTCCTCCGCGGTCCTTTGATCCTTTTCGCAGTGCTTCGGGGAAGTACGACTACACGAATTACGTACCTAGCACATATGTGTTCTACACGTGGTGAATGCTGTGTAAGTAATCATGTTTTATTTGGCTGCAGCTTGCCGGCTCTTCTCGTCCTTGTTCTCGTCCTTGCCGTGAATTGTGTGTTGTTTATTGTGGCTTTGAAGTTTTTTAGTGTCCGTGCGAGTGGACTCTGCTGGGCGCATTGTTAATGGCCGTGCCATTTTATTTCAAAATTAATAAAGTGGCCTGGCCGAGCTGGAGGAAATGGCAAACAAACTCTCAAGTCTTTTTGATTTCTCTTTGCTGCTGCGAAAACTTTCAGCAACTGCTCAAGTTACAAATGCATTTTTAATAAATGCTCTGATTTATGGGGCTGCCGATGCACTGGGAATAATCGAAACAAAGTTGCAGACTATAAAATCGGAATAAATGTAAAATGGTAGTTTCAAATATTTAATACTTATTACTATAATTTTTAAGGGAGTAAAATTGTCATTTACATATATTTCTTGGGCACAGTTTAATGGTTAAAATAGGTTAAAAATTAAATGAAGGAGGAACACTTTAATACTCTAGTATAAAAGTGCACAATTGCATTATTAATTTGCTTATACTGTTGCTAGTTTTTGATTGATAACTAGTTTCACTGAATGTGTCATGACATTCTCCTTTAAATATTAGGAATTCATTGCTGGCCGATTTATTCGCCATTCTGAACGCAGGTAAAGTGGCATGTTCCTGTGTGTCCGCATTTTTCAGAGGCGTTTCTGCGGACCACCCACATGGTGGCCCCTAATAATTTCCAATTCCCAGTGATTTCCCCACATGCTGCGTTGCCGGTTGACAGCCTGTTCATCATCGAACACATTTGCCACTTAGTGAGCAATTAGAAGCCGAGCCGAGTGTGCTGGGCTCATTATAAATCAACCAAAATCTCTTCCCGATGCGTTGGCCATCGGATCAGCCCGCCTGAAAGTGCATTAGCCTTTTGTCTAGGCGGAAGACCAACTCTGAGGGATGGGATGGGACATCCCAGTCCAGGAGATCCAGGGGAGCCGTGGCGGGGCAGCCACGTAATCGTAGATGCACGCAGCACTCGAAGATACACACAGCCAGATACATTTGTTGCTATTTTTAGCTGCCAACGCAGCGATGTCGTGAGCGCAAACGACGGGCCACGCGGGTTAGACTTGGATATTTTTAAACGACCACATCGCTGCAGCGCGGAGTCAAGTGCAACGAGCTCCCCGAGCGCTCCGCGCTGCATGGGCATCAAGTGTCCGGGGGCAGTTGCAGTTGCAGTTGTTGTCGGACCAAATGAAGCCATTAGCCGGCGCGGAGTTGTGGCCCAAATATAGGCACACTCGCCGGGAGTTGTCTCTCGCGGCGGACTCCTCGCTCCGGATTCCCACTCCCGGTGATCTCGAGTTTCACGGATCTGCCAGAACAATGTCTCCCAACTCTTGGAGGAAACTGTTTCAGGCCATGTGGGATTCTACTGGTTTTGGGAACGTACCAGTAGAATTCCGGGCAGTACTTATGTTTTCAAATGTGATTTAGTTGAAGCAACCGCTTTGTTATGATAATATGTGCTCCATTATGTCTTCCCTGAAGAGCCAACTTTTGGGGGAAACTGTTTCAAACCATGTGGAATTCTACTGGTTTTAAAAAGCACGGCAGCAAACCACTATACCTTTGTTTTCAAATGTGATTTGGTTGAAGCAACCGCTTTGTTATGATAATATGTGCTCCATTATATATTAAATTATGTCTTATATAACCATAGGTTGTAAACACAATTTCCCCCATGAGTGGGAGTGTAATTATTGTTTTATTCTTCGGGCGCCACGCGAGGATATCTCAAGACTATTTCCCCCAACTTTACGTCGGGGAGGTCAATTATTGCCGTAGGCGCGGTCCATGTCCTCCTCCAAGAGCTGCCAAAGTAGCAAGTGTGGCTCTGCGGCTTGGGGATTCCCGTCACGATTTAGCATTTTTCATCAGCTCAGCGATTTTCATGTCACGTTCGCGCTGACAAAGTTTTCCCGCCCGTCCTGAGCCCTTCCACTTGCAACTTGGGCTTATCCTGGCGCGAAGTTTGCGCGTCTTCTGCGGCCATATAACTGCTGTTCCACATATACGTACTTGTGTAGGTATAATTCCAGTATTTGCTCCAGCTTGCATGTAGCTTGTTTGTTTGCTGTTGCAAAGTTTGTCAGCTTGATGTTTAATTGTTATTTTGTGTCCCTCAACTCAATGGGCGCTTGTGAGCGTTGGGGCAACTTAAGGATGTCTGATTTCATTTCCAAGTTGTTCGCCGAAAGTTGTCAGCTGTCTGAAGGGCGCAACTTTGTATCGGATTAAACCATTTAACGGCCTTAAAGTTGGTCTTCATTTCTGACTCAAAAGGTGTTACCAAGAAGATACTTTTTCGCAAGGCGAAAACCCCTATTTGTATCTATGCGTGTTGCCACATTTTTCATAGATTCCGTAATTGGTTTTGAATATAATTTCTAAAAGATATTCTGTGCTTTAAAGTGCTTCTATTTTTCAAAGATACATATATAGTGTCTGAA